CTTCTCATTAAATTTTTACTTGAAAGTCATTGGGCTTAGAAAGGGTTATTTTCCAAATAAAATGTTTAATTAGTGCCTTATTTAGAAAAACTAAAATTATTGCTCATGGCCCCTGCCTGTCTCAAATTTAGAGAAAAAGAATAAAGCATGCCTCATTGAAAAATATCATCTATTGAAAAGCTTTATACAAGGATAAAGAGTATTTTCCCTTAATTACTAAAAATCCATTAAGGCTAAGCTTTTGCAGTAGAAATTCTTCTCTCATCTAAAAGCCTTGAGAAGAGGCATGTCAGAAAATGAGTATCAGGTTAAATGGAGACAAAGTTGTCCATGAAAAATGGGAATTGCAGGGAGAGGGAGAATTCAGGAAAAATGATTTCAGGCAAGAAAGATTTGGGCAGACCTCAAAAGAAATTGATGAGAATCTGATGAGCATTAATAAATTCTTTGGTCTCCATAGTTACGATGACCCATGACAGTCATTGGTGTTATCATTTTGTTGAGTGATAAGCAGTGTAAAAATGATACCAGATAATAAATTATTTATAATACAAAATATCATACAATTTTAAACTCACACACTTTTTATACACATTTGATGTAAAATATTTTTTAAAATTATAAATGAATTCATTGTAGAAAAACCAAAACATAATAGATGAAGATGTAACTGGTATTTACATCTTGGAAGATCAGATGTTGAGCGAATGATTTTTTCTATGTCTGCCAACTTATTTTGTAATGGAATCAAACAGAATACACTATATTATAGACCAGGGGTCCCCAACCCTTGGGCCACATATCAATGCCGGTCCATGGCCTGTTAGGAACCAGGCCGCAAAGCAGGAGGTGAGCAGTGGGTGACTGTTCCCCATCGCTTGCATTACCTCCTGAGCTCTGCCTCCTGTTAGATCGGCAGTGGCATTAGGTTCCCATAGAACTGTGAACCCTGTTGTGAACTGCACATGTAAGGGATCTAGGTTATGCACCTTTTATGAGAATCTAATGCCTGGTCATCTGTCACTGTTTCTCATCACCCTCAGATGGAACCATCTAGTTGCAGGAAAACAACTCAGAGCTCCCACTGATCCCACATTATGGTGAGTTGTATAATTATTTCATTATATATTACAATGTAGTAATAATAGAAATAAAGTGCACTATCAATGTGATGCACTTGAATCATCCTGAAACCATCACCCTTCCCCGGTTCATAGAAAAATTGTCTTCTGCCAGGCGTGGTGGCTCACGCCTGTAATTCCAGCACTTTGGGAAGCCGAGGTGGGTGGATCACAAGGTCAGGAGTTCGAGACCAGCCTGGCCAACATGGTGAAACCCCGTTTCTACTAAAAATACAAAAATCAGCTGGGCGTGGTGGCACGTGCCTGTAATCCCAGCTACTCAGGAGGCTGAGGCAGGAGAATCGCTTGAACCTGGGAGGCAGAGGTTGCAGTGAGCCAAGATCACCCCACTGCACTCCAGCCTGGGCAACACAGCGAGACTCTGTCTCAAAAAAAGAAATAAAAAAATAAAAAAATAAAATTGTCTTCCGTGAAACCAGACTTTGGTGCCAAAATGGTTGGGGACCACTTTTATAAACTACTTAATTTGCATGAGAATCTTCCCATGGCCCCAAATGGATGTCTAGAATATCCTTATAACTGCTTCATTTTATTCTTCTGCCACTATTGCTGGACCCTAAGTTGTATCTATTTTTTAATTTTTATAAACATCATGATGAGGAACACTCTTGGACCTAAATTTTTATTTATGTCTGTGCTTATTTCCTTGGCATGAATCTCTGGATGTAAAATTGTCCAGTCAAAAAGTCTATATCCTGCCTTTTGCCATCAGAGTCTAACAGCCCTGCAAAAAAGTTTACATGCACATCAGCAGCATATGATAATGCACTGTTCTCCACATACTAAAACCACTTCTAAAAGATCTGACCAAGTTGATGTGGGGAAATGAATTTCACTGTAATTTTTATTTGCATTTGTTGGAAGTGGAACATGAGATGCATTTTAAGTGGCCCAAGAACACTTTGGGTTACTGTAATGGTCCCCCATCTTTTGGGCCCCAGGGGCTGGTTTTGCGGAAGACATTTTTTCCATGGACCAGGAGGTGGAGGAATAATTTCTGGATGCTTCAAGCACATCATATTTATCATGCACTTTATTTCTTTTATTATTACATTGTAATATGTAATAAAATAAGCATACAACTCACCATCATGTATAATCAGTGGGAGCCCTAAGCTTGTTTTCCTGCAACTAGACGGTCCCATCTGGAGGTGATGGGAGACAGTGACAGATCATCAGGCATGAGATTCTTACAAGGAGTGTGCAGCCTAGATCCCTCGCATGTGCAGTTCACAATGGGGTTCACAATCCTTTGAGAATCTTATGCTGCTGCGGATCTGACAGGAGGCGGAGCTTAGTCAGTAAGGCGAGTGATGGGGATCATCTGTCAATACAGACAAAGCTTCAGTCACTCGCCTGCCACTCACCTCCTGCTGTGTAGCCCAGTTCCCAACAGGCCATGGACCAGCACTGGTCTGTGGCCCAGAGGTTGGAGACCCTTCGTTACTGGACCAATAATTTATTGGAAGTAAGTAACACCTTACTGCTTCTGTAAGGTCTTCAATCCTGAGGTTATTTTAATGTTGTCCACATGTTGCTAAAACACTTAAATATAAAATTTAAAACTTCATTAATCAGCTATGTATTTTGTTTATGTACTGCTGAAATGCCTAAACATTTGATATCATTTGGATGAAATAATCAGATAATGAAATGAAATTTTCATTTTCCATGTAAATGTTTTGATGTGGTTTGGCTTTAGCCATAGATGTTTCAAAATACTTAATTGGTATTGAAGTCATTTTTCCCATCTTCAGAATTTCTGTGCATTTCAAAAATGATGGTGCTGGGATCACATAACTTTAGTGAGCAAAATTAGCCATACTTAAATGATATTAAAAATTAAAAAAATAATATTTTAAAGCATCTTGCTGCTTGGTATTGTGTAGATTATTCCCCCTTCCCACATTTTCCTCAGAAAGCAGATTTTATGTAGTAAGTTGTGGTAACCTATTCAAAGCCGAATGAGTAGAGAGAGAAAGGTAGCTTAATTGAGGTGCTAACATTGTCTTGCATCATTAGATCATCCACATAGGTGAGCAACACTCAAGCAGGAGAAAAAAATATTACAAACTTCATCTTCATGCCAGTTCCACTCTCCTCCCTAATCCCCTACAGGACATATTCCCAAGATTGTATGACATGTCAGTCCATTTTGTACTCACCAATATGCCAATATTTGCACACAAGCATTATACTATTAAGCAATAGGGGAGGCAACATGGAATTTAAGCCTTTGCTTCAAATTCTATTCTTCAGCAAACATAAGTGAGAAAGAGATAGAGAGAGAAGGGAGGGAGGGAGAGAGGGATGGTGGGGAGAGAGAGAGAGAGAGCGAGAGAGAGCTATTGGCACTTTCTGCTTCTCCTACAGTTAACCAGTTACCAAATCCTTTCAGCTGGAGGGGTGCAGTTCAAGCTACCTTTTAGTAGTTCTTATGAACCCATAAAGGTATAGGTTAAAAAATGTCTTTTCAGAAATATAGAATTAATTGGCCATTTAGTTAATGACCATCTGATGAGTGGTCGACCACAAGTAAACAGATTCAGCTGAAAAGGAGATAATGAAAGGCCATTCATTGGTTTATTACTGATTTCACAATATTCCCCACTTAATTGTTTATAAAGTATCTATGAAGAGGGACTTGTAGGGAGGAAAGGAATAATTTCCCTATAGAGCAATAAAAACCTCAATGACCCTATCTGCAAAATGGGGGTATTAACAGCAGATGACTTTCCTGTTATAAACCTCAATGAATCCAAAACCTCAATTTTTTTTTAACCACATAGCAATGGAAGTGTTGAAGGGCCTAGATTTGATCTATTTCAGAAGAAGAAGAAAAAGATAACAGACTTGAGGGGAAAAAGACAGCTAAAATGGTCATGTCTATACCATAACAGGTAATTAGAGGGAAACAAAGTGGTTTCTCAATTCAAAATAGTTATTTTTTTATAAAGTGTTTTCTGTATCACATTCTTCTTGAAAATAATCATTTAAGGAACTTTAGAATAAAAAGACCTCAAAATGTGGTTTTAATTATAATTATAATGATTTTCATAGTAGACACATTTTACCAACTAATAAGCTAAAGAATTTATTACTTACCATTTGTCCTCTAAAGTAAATTCTCCAATTGTACAAAAGAAATTAAATTCACATAAGCATTTTATTCTTTCTTTCTAAAATTAGAAGCCATAAAATGAACAAAAAGTAACATATAAAAGATGCTAATGTGCTAAGGAATAAAAGGAATGCTTCTTCATAAAAAATAGATTGCAGTTTTCTTTTCCATATGAAAGCATTTAAAATGGTAACTTGAAAACATAGGCTGCAATATTTTACAACTTTCTTACATGACACCTTATGGATCTAACTTCTACCAGAAATATGCAACATTCATATTCCAGTGAATAACATTCAACATACTGGCTTTTTAAAAGTGCACAGTGTCAGAAATACTTATAGACTTTAAAATTTGTTGTAAAGTATAAAGAATGTCACAAATGATTAGAAACTACTATGGGAAAATAGTCTTTTAAGTATGTTAAATTTTAATGTCAATGATTACAGAAACACAGTGATGTTGGTATTGGAGATCTTTATATTTCCAGCAGCCTCAGGACACTGAGTCTTATCAGAATAGTGGGCTTAGGCACATGGCTTACTCTCTTTTTTGAAAATCATTAATTTATATGGCAACTTGAAATAAATGGAAATTAATTCTTTGTTTGCTTTGGCAATCAGATGAGAAATTTCTCTTAATAACTGTAAAATGTGCCAGGCTACATACTGTACAGTACTATTTCCACCTGCCATAAGGCAGTGGAAATATTAAAGGGTAATTTTCTCAGAACTTACCTGCCCTGCAGCTTGCCAGGTAAAATTCATGGAATGGATATTGACAGGAATAGCTGGCATTCTCTGTTGCGCTTTTCTGAAATCATGTGTAAAAGGTGCCATTTTCCCCTCTGAAACAATCAGGATATCTTCTTCAAATCCTGGTTTTTAAAATAATACAACGATCAAATCAGGTAGACTTGAAATCATCTAAATCAGAAGTTTCAAGCAAAAAGAAAACTAAATAATTAGTATGGGTCATTTTTGTTCACAAGGCATCTGCCTTCGGTACCATCAGCGCTACTAAGATTAATTGTCCTCCGTGGATGATGAGAATGATGTCAACAGACCCATGCTTTCAGGGAAAAGGGATGGACATGGAGTTAACCGATGCAAACAAATGCTGGGTGCATCTAAAAACGCAGGGCTATAAAAATTAACAACAGCACGATCAGAACACTAGATCAGCTTTGGTTTCTTAAAAGAGAAGTTTATAAGCTTTCAGATGGAAAATCTCTAATTAAAAGGTGGGAACACTCTTTTATGGAAATTAAGTTTTAAAACACACGAAATGCAGGTATCCCTCCTTCTTGAAGAGTGGAGAGAGGACACAGGCAGGGGAAGGCGCTGGACGCGGGGGCCTTACCTATGAGTACTCTCGCCTGGTGAGCATCGATCCACAGGTACAGGCTCTCCTCCCGCGGCTGCCCGGCCTCCGCCCGCAGTGCCAGCAGGCACAGGAGGATGCTCCAGAGCCAGAAAGCGGCGGCAGCGAAGGCGCTCCTCCGGGCCATGCTGCTCAGGACCTCCTTGCTGCGGCGGAAACTCCTTGTGCCGCACCTACGCAACCTGAGGCCGTCAGATCCTCAGCTGCGCTGCAGCTCCCTCAGCCAGAGCTGTTCCCGCTTAGACGGCTGGGAGCGTCGCTTCCCAGCCTGGGTGCCAAGGAGCCTGCGAGAGCAGGAGGAGGAGGGCAGGACGGGGGAGGCGGGGGGGAACCAGCGGGCGTGAGCCGTGCAAGAAGATGGGGCGCGGGCGGGAGTGGGGGTGGCAGAGACGTAAGACTGGCAAAGCTGGCGAGGCCGGCAGTCAGCGGGGCAAATAGAGCGAGAACAGAAGAGCGGGAAGGGCTGGCGCAAGCGAGGTGCGAGCGAGTGGTGCCTGCAAAGCCCGGGCGGCCGCCACTTGGGGGCGCTGTGGGGTCCCCCGGGGGCGGGGCCACGCAGGACCCCCGAGTCAGCGTTCACAGCACGGTGAGCCCAGTGGAGCGCACGCGGAGTGGGCGTGTAGGGCTGGCGAACCCGGAGAAGGGCACTCAGAGACCCCTGGGACGTCACTTGCCTCGGGCCAAGGGAGGCGTCGGGGGAGGGAAATGGAGAGAGCGGACAATGCTGGGCTTGACTGAGCGCTGATGATGGTGATGGTGAAGAGGGTGATGACTCCTGTTCCTCCTCCCGCGCTGACTGAAGGCGCAAATTGCCCATCGTCTCCCTTTCAGCCGGCAGGATTCCTCTCTCCGCCAACCCTATGCGCTCTGTTCTGCGATTGGCTGACACTTTGCGCGTTCCCAAGCAGCTAAAACTCGAGGCTCCACTGTCCGGTGGTCTGATCGCAGGCGCTGGTCTTGGCTCGAGGGGCAGGGCGTTCAGCTGCTACTTGCCCGACACCCAGCAGTTGGGGAGGCCCGTCTGTCTCCCTGATAACGCGGCAGTGCCCGGAAGAGTGCCCTGGGCCCTGGATGATAGCTGTACCCGACCCTGCGGGGTAGGGCTCCACGAACGTCGTGGATATCTTCACGTTTGCTGATATTTTTTAGAAGTTGCTGAATTCGGCCCGGCTCACGCCTGTAATCCCAGCACTTTGGGAGGCCAAGGCGGGCGGATCACCGGAGGTCAGGAGTTCGAGACCAGCCTGGCCAAAGTGGTGAAACCCCGTCTCTACTAAAAATGCAAAAATTAGGTGGGCGTGGTGGCGGTGACCTGTAATCCCAGCTGCTCGGGAGGCTGAGGCAGGAGAATCGCTTGAACCAGGAGGTGGAGGTTGCGGTGAGCCAAGATCGTGCCCTGCACTCCAGCCTGGGCGACAGAGCTAGACTCCGTCTCAAAAAAAATATCAATCAATAAATAAAATAATATATTTTTTAAAAATTGCCGAATTCACAGGTGCATGGGGGCAAAACCAAGGCTCTGGCCTCGTCTGTGAGAAGCATGCTTGGCCGGCAGTGGTCTGCAGCATAACCTAACCACCTGGCCCAACAGAAAGAACTTATTTTTGCCTCCTGCCTAATTCCTTGGATGTGCAAAGAAAACGGAAGCAAAAGGGGTTTTTTTTGTTTGTTTTGTTTTGTTTTTAATTAAAAAAAAAACTTAGAAAGTCTTCGGACTCAGAAAAGGTTCATTTACTCGTCTTTGTTCTTTAGTACCCGATGCTGTGACAAATGCCTCAAGGATCAAATGTCTGAGGCTGGGCGTGGTGTTTCAATCAGTCCTTTGTAGAGTAGCAGATGCCTCAAGAGGGAAAAACAAACAGAAACAACAGAAGAGAAGCTGGACATGTGCAGGCATCAAGTTAAATCAGTGTTAGGTTCTAAGAATATAGATTTCCAATAAGGAAATATTTACAGCTACACAACCAACCAATAGAAAAAAAAGGAAAAAAGGAATTAGATAAGAAGTCTATGACTGATTTGAACTTGCAGTGTATTAATTTTTAAAGTACTTTTATTTTAAGTGCTTGCTTACTCCTCACAACTCTTAAGTAGGTACTACTATTATTCTCATTTTACTGATGAGGAAAGAGGGCTCAAAAAGTCCAGTAAGTTGACTGTGGATATCCAGCTGGTAAATGAGAGTAAGGGTTCAAATCCCAGACACTCTGACTTCAAAGCCCATTCTCTTAGTAACTTATACCTCATAATGATAAATAAATCATAATTAAGTCTGTTTGCATTCAAAGCTTTGCAGTCATTCTTCCTTTAAAATAAAAATATTTACCTGTTTTCCAACATTTCATTATTTTTTATTTCTGTGAATATTCATGTATATAATGTATGAACATTAGGCTACTTTTAAAACACTTTAACGTTGTAGTGCCAGTGTCACCCAGGTAAAGATAATAATTTCACAGCACAATAGGCATTTTCTTTGACTTGGAGCGTGTGGTTTTAATTTAACATTTTTTTCCTAGTTTTGCGCAAACCTCCATGGCTCTTGGTGCAAGGACGCCCTCTACAGGTTTTCCTAATCAAATACTAATTGAGAAGTACTCATACAATTTATTTTTTGGTGCAAGAAAAAGAGGAACTCAATTCTCTCCTAATTTGGTTTCCTCTAAGTGAAATTCTTCTGCAGCAGTTGAATTTGGTGTTGATAACAATGGCAATCTATCTTGCTATAAGCCCATTTTTTTCCTTCCAGAATGGTTATTTTCTGTTTACTTCCCTCCAGCAGAGGACACTTAGAAAAACAATATTCTATTAGAGATAGATAAAGAAAAATGCTATTTAAAAATTTTTTGATATAAGCTCATTTGGTTATTAAAGGAGAGGAAGGAACATATGTTGTGTTATACAACAGCAATTTTTAAGAGTAGCAGCATGGATCTTTTTGTCGGGAGGTCCATCTCTAAGAGATGAATCAGGCTTGACTCTCCTTTCTGTTGTTAAGGAGCAGTTAATATAGCTATTTCATTAAGAATTAAGTTTTTAAATTTCTTTAAACAAACACGTGACAATATTTACTAGCATATGATAAAAATTTGGAAATAATGTGCTTGGCAAGTCAACTTCATTTCATTTGAAAATTGTGCCATTTATTTTCCAGTTCATTATGCTTCCTTTCCTTGTGCGATTCCCTCTCACCAATTATGTGTGCAGGCAGCTTCATTTATTTGTTCATTAACTCATTTGCTTATTCAACAAAGATTTATTAAACACCTATTATGTGTAAGACATTGACCTGGAAATTATAGTACAAATAAAACATGATCATAGCCTTCAAAGTGCAATAGAGCTACTAAAATAAGTAAGACAAGCACCTAAACAGATGTAATACAAGGCAGAATGTGGTGATTGTTGATAAGGCAGAAAGACTGGAAATTCATAGAAGAAATCTTGTATCTAGAATTCTGGACATTTGTTCATTCATTCATTCATTCAAAATATATTTACCCAGTGTCTGATGTATGCCCTATATAAGCACAGGGGATAGAAAGGTAAGTGAGAAGACAGTCCTGCTCTCAAAGAACTCTCAATCTAACAAGAGAGTGTGTTGAGAATAAACAATAGGGAGGAATGAATGTCATGGTGGGAAAATGCACAGGGTATTTTGGGACTGAGGAAAATCCCTCGAGGCAGACTGGGTTCTGGGAACACTTTCTAGAGTAGAGCATACTTGAGCAGTCTTGAAGGTCAAAGGGTCAAAGGGGAGTTGATCATGCAAGGGGGAAAGATAAGGAACACCCATGCATAGACAATGGCAATAGTGAGAGCAAGAGACATGAGAAAGAATGGCACCATGCAGGATCTGCAGGTGCTGACCCTGTAGTATGATGAGCCTGGAATGGGAGGGGGAGGGAGCACCTGGGGATAAAGCCCAAAATGTAGGTAGGACCTGGTTATGGAAGATTGTGCTGAGGACAATTCTAAATAATTTGTTTAGGGTTGCTGTCCTCAAAGAGGCGAGGCGTAACTCCTCACTCCTGAAGTGTGGGATGTGCAGAGTGACTTCCTTTTATAGCGTGCAGTGTGGAAAGTGGGGAAAGTAACAAAGCTGACAAACACTACTTCAACTAGGTGATCAAGAGCATCAACAGTGATGAGTCATGTGGATAGTATGTGCCCTTGATACAATGTGATGAGAATGGTACTTTATCTCTGTGATCTTGCTCCTGAAAACCCATAACCCCAGTCTAGTCACAACAAAAATATCAGAAAAACCCAACTGAGGGACATTCTACAAAATTCTGATCAGTATGCCTCAAAACTGTCAGTGAATAAAAAAGGGAAGTCTGAGAAACTCGTAGCTAAGAGGAACCTAAAGACACATGACTACCAAATGTAATGTGCTATCCTGGACAGGATCCAGGAATAGAAAAAGGACATTAGGTAAAGCAAAGGAAATGTCAGTCAACTACTAATAACACTGTATCAATATTAGCTCATTAATTGTGACAAATGTACCATTCTAATGTAGAATGTTAGTAACAGGGAAAGTTGGGTGTGGGGTATATGGAAACTCTCTGTACTATCTTTGCCATTTTTGCTGTAAATCTAAAAGTGTTCTAAAATATAAAGCTTATTTTAAAAATTAAAAATCAAGACTTGAGTATGTTTAAAAAATCTTTGCTGCTGACATTTGAAAAGCAGATTTTTTAATTAAAAATTTGATTTCTGGCTTCTCTTGAAAATGTAGAGATCTGACAATATTCCCTTCTGACAAAGAATCAGATGGTGTGAGTAGTGGCTGCCCTTCAAACAGGGCTAGTGCACCCAGTCCTTACAGTTGCACTACTTTTCCACCTAGCATGCTTTGCTCTTTTACTTTACCATCTAGGCTTCTATAGGCTCCTGAGTTTGCCATGCGTGTCCTGGAGACCTGGAGGAACAGGGAAGACGACGGTATCTGAGGGAGCTGAAGCCAGTGCTCATCTTGGAAGTGCAGTTGTGTGGGAACCAGGGCAAACACTGCTCTAGGGGTAGGTCTTGTCAGTGTCCAGCCATTCACTCACCCAGGCAAGTTGCCAGAACTATCTTGGTGATTGCAGGCATTGGGACTGAGACTGGGGCATATCAGCTGCACCCTGAGCTGTGTCTTGGAGAAGGAAGGAGCAGATACCCCTCTACTACACTGCTGTGGAGAGGAAGACACAAGATAGTAAATGAAAAGGGCAAGTTGGCGAGGATTATGCTTAAAAAACTCTCTTCTTATACAACTATATATAATAGCTATACATAACTATGGATATACTATAACTGTCTGTCTATTCTATAATGTCTGAAAGTTTATATAACAAAATATTTCCAGTGGTTACCTATAGGAAGTAGGAACACGGATAGGGAATGATTTTCCATTTATGCACAAATATTTTTCTGATTCATAATAAAATGAGCCGATGCTTTTGTAATTGAAAACCATTTTTAAGAAGAGAAAAAGGTTGTTTTATGCCTGTTTCAGTCGGTTTCTCCTGAAGTAGGCAACTGTCAACACCTAGGTTAGCACCTCTTGCTATGCGGCTTGCACACTTTACCACTTAAGAACTGCACATCACAACACATGACAGCTCATTACTGAAGCACAGCATGACTGGAGCATTCCTCATCATCCTATGTGACATTCTTGCCCTTCTTTCTTCACATGATGGCATTGCCAAGCAACCTAGTATATCTTGTCTTTCAAAAACCATATCCGTTCTTTTTTGTTCATCCATGCTGTTTTATCCTTATGACATTTAATGAAGGTTTTTTTTTTATATATGATAAGGAAGAAAGGGAAAACAATTTCATTGCCCAATAGTGGAGGAATGAGAAAGTAAATTAGAGTATCTTCATAGGAAGAAGTATTATTGAACTATTAAAATTGATGTTCTAACAGATATTCAACCATGAATCTATCACCACAATAAAGATAATAGATACTACCTATCACTCCCAAAAGTTTAACAAAATATACCCTTTAAATATGTGCAGTTTATTGGATGTCCACTATATTTAATTAAACCCCTTTCAAAGAAATTTTTTAAAATAGTGTTTCATCAGGAAGAAAAAATGGTAAATTGAACTGTATTAAAATTAAGAACCT